TAGGAGTGATCATCCTCCCCCTTCCAGGGAGGGGGATTCACAGCTCCTGGGGGTATCCATCCCCTTTCCTGTGCCCTTCCAGACCTTTATATTAACTAGCTGTTGCATTTCACCTGCAGAGCAGAGACTGGTGCAGGGGCTTGCTGGGCAGAGACTGTTTAATTCCTACACTGTCAGTGTTATTTTTGGTACAGATTAACTTAAGCTAGCACTCACCATAGATGTGCAGCGTGAAAAGCCTGGTGAATTGGCTTTTATCTGTGTTGACTTGAGCTGTGTAGGACCCCGCATCCTCCAGCCTCAGGTCGGTGATGTGCAGCGAGAGGCCGTCGTTGGGGACACGCAGGCGGCCCCTATAGCTCCTGTCTGACACAACGACACTTGGGGGGTCTCCTGGTATCACCGTTGCTAGACTCTCTGTGCCAATCATCCAAGCAGCAGTATCTAATGTCTCCCCTGCCGGGATCTCGAGAGGAAACGTGACCGTCTCCCCTGGGGTCCCGACCAGCTCTGTTGGGGCGACCTCTGGGGTCCTGACCACCTCTGTTGTGGGGGCATCTGTGCCTGCTCCAGACCATCCTGCATTTGACAAGGGACAACACAGATTGAAGGCAGCGGTGCTGGATCCCCGCGCACACGGACATTGCCTTTCCCAGCCCCAGGCACCTCTTCCCACACAGCCTGGGGCTCTGCCTGCTGCCAGGAGCAGGAGGAGGCGCAGGACCCCAAGGCCCAAGACCCAGCCCCACCAGTCTGCCAGGCTCTTGGAGGAGCCAGACCAAGATGGAGGCTGGGGCACCTAGAGCATCCTCAGGGATACTACGCCCTTTCCTCTGGTTTCATTCAGGCCAGGCTCACGAACCAGCTCCATAGGACCCAGGAAGATGCTATCATCCCTGTCCTCCCTCATATGTTTGGTGCAAAGGGGGCACTTACCTGTGTAGTTGCACAGCGGTTCAACATCGATGGTGGCCATGCCCCAGCTGATGGCATTGCTGACGTTGCAGTGATAGAAGGTGTTGCTGCTGCTTTTAGTGATTTCCAGCTGCAGATCAGCTTGATGCTCTTGGAGCCAATAGTCCTCCGGGGCTGGGTGTGAAGATATGCCTCGAGACCAGCTGTAGGTGACCCAGTCAGCTTTGGGCACCAAGCAGGACAGGGTAAGGTAGCACCGTCCACGCTCCTGGGAAGTAGATGCCTTGATGTTGGGCTGCTGGACACGGTCTGGAAGGAGAAGTCCCAGTGAGAGGGGCTGGGTGATTCCAGAGCCATCCCCCAGCTTCACGTCCATGGTGTAGAGGCCACTTTCTTTCTCCGTGACTGAGTTAATCTGCAGCGAGAGATTCCCAGGGTGGAAAGAGACTCTGTCAGCAAAGGTCAGTAATGGATTGGCCGAGGTCCTGTTCTGATCGTGTCTGAGGATCCAGTAGCCCTCTAAACGCAGTTTCACTTTCCAGTTGATTGCCACCCAGGATGACGGCCATGTCTTGGGCTGCAGCTGAACCGTCTCCCCAACAGCAGCCTTCACTTTTACTTCTTGACAACCTGGGGATTCAGAAGGTCAAGGGGGAGAGAAGGGTTCGCAGACTCCTCAGCTCTTTAGAGAAATAAAGGCTGCCGAACACTTCTCTCAGGTTCGAAGGGCACTTAGGGACAAGCCGTGTCTTGTATTTTCTACAGAACAAGAAGAAAAGATGCTTCTCCCTGGAAGCTCCTGCTGCTTTTTGATATCCCTCATTCTAGCCCAGTGCTCCCCTCTGCAAAGCACGGCACAAACCCAGCTCCCAAAGACAGTCTCTGCTCCAAAGACCCCCACCCCCCATGCCTGAGCTCGCCCCAGGCTGCACCCGGGGAAGAGCAGCCCCTTGTCACTCACCTCCAGCTTGGAGGAGCAGAAGGAGGGAGAACACGAGGGGTCCGAGAGCCCCCTTCATCCCAGCTGAGCTGAGCAGGGCAGGCGAGTGCAGACCAGGCGGTGGAGAGCAAGGTTATGTGGCCAGGCTGAAGAAGTCAGACGGAGAAATGATGAATAACGAGGAAGCAGGCTGACTTCTCCCTTGAGTGGTCAATCCGGCAGGCCCTGAGCACCCCACGAGTGCAAGCAACCCTGCATAAAGCAGGGGAACGTTGGCTTGAGTGGGGCTGGGTTGTGAATTCATCGCCCAGCAGCAGAGGAAGTCTATGAAGACGCCCAGGGCAGTGTGACCAGATGCTGGGTCTCCCTTCCAGCACCTTCAGGCCCCAATCCTGCCACGGCTTGCCAAAACCCTTACTCAGCAGTGTGTCCCGCAGCACAGAAACCCCACCCCGCCACAACCCAGCCTGCCAGCACGTCCTCCTGGTTCCTTCATGGCTGCACAAAGTGGGAATAGGCAGAGAAGAGGAATAAGGAAGGGGGCAGATTCGGGGATAGAAGAGGTTAAAGGAGGGCAGGGGGTTAATACTGCCATCCCTCAGCAGCTCAGCCAGGATCCATAGGGCTGCCCACCCTTTCCCCTCTCCCTTGCTCTGCTCCAAGCTGCGACAGGAGCCAGCCTCAGCCCCGGCATAGCCAAGAGCTTTCTGCGCTGAGCTAGTGCAGTACAGGCTATTCTTGTTGTTGTTACCTGCCAGACAGACCCAGGGCCAGGTCGGCCACTGCCAGGGAGGCAGGAAACAGGTCACAGCCCGACTGTCCAGCAATCAGACCCGATGCATGAGATTAGCATGGATCCAAGGGCTGCTTTTACATCAAAATGCCACTGTTCATGCCTGCCAATACAGTGAGGATGAGGTATGTACCAGCCACGGGATGTCCAAATTCCCCCCACCCAGGCCCACCTGCTTCGCTGGCTCGAAAGAGTAAATCCTGCTCGGCCAGCTGAACTGTCTCAGTGTTTCCAGGATCCCAGGGCTCTAATCCAGACTGGGTCCTGTGTGCACGGGGAAGCTGCTGGTTGGCATCTTAGTGAAACTGCCAGGAGGATTCCCCGTTCCCTGGCTCACTGACCTGAAATACCCCTTGTTACCCCCAACAGATGTACTGCCCCATGACACTTGTCTGCTAAGTGCTGAGCAGATGGGCTGAGATTGCTTCCCATGACTGCACGGCTGCAATACCGGAGGACTGGAAAAGGGCCAATGTGGT